ACAGAAACTGGTCCAAACCAATTTTTAACTAATGAGAATTTCTGATTAAAAATAGGTTTCTTGAGTTTTATATATACTCTATGGATATTTTTCAGAAAAAAAAAGAAGCCCCTGCAGTAAAATATAATTTCTCAGAAGAATAAAGCGTTTCAGATGGGTTAAATAGCTCTCATTTTTTATTGTTTTAGGATTGTATTTAACTGCTGATTTCAATTATGGTGACCAGTTTCAAAATATGATACATTTTCAGCGGGAATCTTAAAGAAGGCTTGGTGGCTATTTCTCCTCAAAGGGAAATAAAATTTTTAAATACCCACAACATTCAGATATTAACAAGAAATGGATATTCTTAAAGACAGTTCTTCATTTTAAGAAAAAAGAGAATCTTCAGAATGAAAATTCACTGTCTCTGAAGCTTAAATTACTGAGCCTGGCCACTCTTAATGCGTTAAGGAGGTGATAACTTGTCACAGATAAAGTACCATATTGATATAGTACATCTCCTTTAGTCCACTCAAGCATGATCGATTGTAGAGGGGCATTTTAACAAAGTCAGACCTCCTGAATCACAGCAGGGATTTTGATATTCCCTTATTTGACTCCGCACTTAATCCAAATTTTCAGAAATTGTTATGTGTCATATCTATTTTAAAAGATTTAAAAGAATTAATAGGGAATGTTGAGAAAAATGAACACTTTCTAAATGTATAACAAACCCAAAGTTTGTCTCCTACTGCATGAAGTTTCTAGAACAGATAAGTTTGAATTTTTTAAATTGATTTTCTGATTTTCTTATTTTGTTATTGCAAGGTCTTCTCTTCAGGCTGTTCTTCAGTTACTATGAAAACAGCAGTTCCTTTCCAGGTAAAAGCAGAGTTTTTTCAAAAATTGATTACATTAAACAATTTGATGGTCTAAGAAAAAACAGTAATCTGGTGTCTTAAATCAAGTGATGGGACTGAAGAATTAACTCATAAACTGGTCTCAGTAAGGCTTTTGCTTCAAGAAAGAAACTCTTGAGGAACCTATGCTACAGTACAAGAATCTCTTTTAACATATTGTAAAAACATGCAAACTACCACAAACAATAAATTCTCTTCACCTGTCATCTTTTCAACTTTGAGTTGACTAAACGTTATGTGTACATCATAGAGAAATAATAAGCTGTGTAGTCACAGCTATCATGCTTACAGAACTCATAGAACTTCTGAGTTTCTCCTTTAATAGGGGCTTTGTTTTTCCTGATATGCCTTCCCAAAGCCAGCGATGTATGTTTGACAAAGCTAAACAGCTTCAATACTTTAAAAAAAAAAAACAAAAAAAAAAAAACAACAAAGCCCTAAGTGTTCTAAAAATCCATGTACAGACCATAATCTGTGACGTTGGGAGCCACATAAGCATGGCTTGACCAAGACGTTCCTGAGATGCAGCTCACCTTGTCTTATCTCCCCAACTTCCACCTTGCTAAGCCAATGGGTTAAGCCAACTCTGCGCATGCCTCAGAGCAAACTCAGGGCTTGAATCACACCTCAAGTGATCTCAATCACATGAGGCTTTTAGGTTTTTTCTACAGAAGGCCATAGTCAGCTGGAACAGGTATATTGAAATCCTTAGTAAGGATTTGCTTTGTAGAAGAGTAGTAAATAAACTCTCCCCAAAGCAATAGTAATTAAAAAAAAAAAAGGCAAGAGTTGCTTTCCAGACGGCCTGTCTGACACAGTGGTTTAGAAATAAAACAGTAGAAATCTCAAAAATAATCAGAATAGGAAAGCCATTTTGCATCTAATTGCAATCACAACAGAGGGATGACTGACCCCTCCCCTAAACCCTGAGCATTTACCTTTGTGCTTTAACAAGATCCTTTTAACAAAGTCTTTGTGTGTGAGAACAACCCTAATGTTTCATATAGGTAGTAACTGGGGTCAAAGATATTATTTTACCTATCCTCTTAATTTCACTCATTTTTTCATTTCTCACCTCTGGATTCAATTCAAAAATCACATGAACTTTTTTTCCAGGTTGGATTTTAGCTACATCAAAGCGAACAGTCAAAAGCTGGTCATCTGGTGTAAAAGTATCCTCATCGCAGACTGTCAGCTCCAGGATGTTCTAAGGAGAGAGACAGGGAAGGATGTAAATGTCGTTTTCTGGGACTACTGAGCCCAAAAGGAAGGTCTAGCACGAGTCAGCATGCAGCCCTCATGTTGTTGGATGCGGCCAGACTCCTGCGACAGCATGGAGCTCGGTTCACAACCCCTGTGGCTCAGATTGCAAAATCATGGATTAACCCTACAAGAGGTAAATCATCAGCCTTGGCAAAGGACAAGAGCTCAAAAGAAAGGCAGCATAAGTGGCATGCACAATGGTAACATGCCCTGGACAGAGTAGACATTGCACTTGCTGTTCATCAGGATCCAAAATCAGTACCTTGGAAAAATTTTGGCTTATCAGCAGAAAGTAGAGATAGAGACCAAACTCTTAGCCCTTTACAAATGAAAGGCAAAGCACATTAACAAACTGCTTTAACAAGACTTTAGCTGTAGTGATTCCCCTTGCAATTCCTCAGGGCCCATATTACCTATAGTAGCATGAGAAGGTGCAGCATTATCAAACCACAGGAAGCTGACCCTGTGTCTACACCTTGCATCACTCACACTCTGGCTGCTAATCTATTTCTGCTAACGCTACAAATATTTTAAGTTTTTTACAACTGTTGATTACCCATAGTAGCGTGAGAAGATGCAGCACTATCAAGCCACAGGAAGCTGACCCTGTGTCTATCACTCACACTCTGACTGCTAATCTATTTCTCCTAACACTACAAATATTTTAAGTTTTTTACAACTGTTCTGGGACAGAAAGAAGTGTTTAACTTTATTACGACTGATCAATAACCCTCTGAGCTTACACTCATTCAAAGCAGCATGCGATAGGCATGGTTCTATTATAAATCTGTAAGTCAAATGTAAGGTTTGGGACATACATACTAGATAGAGCCTATTAGGCTTTTGAAAATATGCCTGTTTGATGATCAAATGGTTAGTAATAACAGATATTTTTAATTTTTTAAAAAATAGCATTAAGTTTAGTACCTTTTATAATTTACAAATAGCATCACTGTTGCTGTATAAAGCAGGTATTACAAGCTCATGGCAACACACAGCAAAAAATGCCTTCACAGTTCCATATAAGAAAACATAACTAATCCTCTAAAGAGTTTATAAAATCTCCCATCCAATTCATGGGGTTCTAGTACTTAGAAGATGATAGAGACCACTCAGGGCACCACAGAATCCACACTAAGGCATACTTACTTACTGGTAGGAAACAGCATCTCTCGTGTCATCTCTGATGCTTTCTGTATCTTTCCGTTACCATCCTATTCCTCAGTGTAACTCAGTTCAAGCCTCTGTGTGAGCCTCAAGGCTCTCATGAAGACCCTGAACACAGCAGGTGGAGATGTCCCCTTTAGAAAGTGCCTGCTCACTGTCACAGGTGCAGATCCTACCTTTACTTCTCTTTGTATCATGAAGTGGAAAGCTTCATTCCAGACAGGGTTTCTGCTGTTGCGTACGGTTCTTGTCCGGGCTTCCCGACAGGAAGCTGTTGGCAGCCACAGCTTGATGTAGCAATCAGTTTGGCTCACTGTGTTAACAAAAAGATGTAAAATCAGTACAGCAGTACTTTCTTGTTATTTCTTTTGCCCAGTCAGGGGAAAAAAAAAATTAACTTCTGAGGATTCCTAAATATTTCATTAGACCCGAAGGAATACATTCTGGGTTTAGAATTAACATTTCTATCTACATTTACGTCAATTTCAAAAAAAAGTCAATTTTAAGCCACTAATTCTATTTGCTAACAAAAGACAAAACAGTCAATTTCAACAGTACTGAAGCATTCCAGCTCTTCTGATTTTTCATCTCTATTTTCAAATATTTCTCAGGTTCCAAGCTAATTCATGTATGACTTCACTTCCTGAAACTTGGTTTTTTCAAAAAAACCGGAAAATCTAGTTTTGGGGATTTTTTGACCTGGTTCTAATTGTAATGCACAAGGCATTCACAGTGATATCACGATGAAGACACAAACAGAGAAGCACCCAACACGACTACTGACTCTTCCTCTATCTTCCACAATGATGCCCTTTCAGAAGGAAAATGGGCAACCTGTGCATAAAGGGGAACTGAAGAGTTAGGGGAAAAGGAAATACCACAGAGCAGCCATTGAAGGGAAGGATAACTTTCTTCCACAACACAGAATTTCTATTCTATTTCATTTCTATTGTTAACTTTTTTTTTCTAAATTGTTTTAATTGAGTCTAAACAAAAATGAAACCAGATACAACTTCTTCAACCAAAGAACCTGAGACATTATTGCAATCCAAGGAACAGGTGTACAAGAGCATTAAATTCAGGTAACAGTGATTTTCTTGCTAACCTATAAACATGCCACTGCTGATACTTACACAAATCGGCTTTGTGGAGATTTCTTATGCTTATAATTTTTACAGTAAGCCAGCATAACTGAGGTACTTCTGGCTGCAAAACAATGAGAAAAATACCTTAATTATTAGCAGATAACTCACGTATAACTAACACAGGCTATACTATAGCATAGGAAAGGCCATTCTCTCATTAATGAAGTGAATATATGTTCATTTTAATTATTTGAGACAATTTCTGAGAAGAAATTCTTTCTTGTGATTTGAAACCATATAATGTCAGATTCCAGCAGTGCCTACTAACCAGTTGTATATAAGATTAAGTTTTCTAAAGATCTAGATTTTGGAGGTTAAGATTTAATGCGGGGAATAGTAAGACATATCACAAGGCAGTTTTCACAAAAAAAAAAAGTTATTACATGATTGCCCCTGTAAAATCCAGCTACCTTTAAACTACTACAGGGTTTGCTCCTCATATTTCACATGAGATGCTCTCCTTCCTCCACAGGGATGGCTGCCCATCTGCCACGTAACATTGCTGCAGAACAGGACAGATACCCTCCATTCTATAATGCCCTGGTCAAGATATCCCTGATACTGCATAATTCAGCTGTGGGATATGTAATGCCATAACATCTGTCACCACACCAAAATACCTGACCCTTAAAAGGAAATAAAAAAGGACTTAAAGAGGGAGAGAACAGCCCAGTATGGGACTCTAGAGCTCTTCAGCTACACCAGCAGGAGGAAGGCTGAAATCAGAGGCTTGGGGTAAGCACTCTTCCATTTCACACATAGGTCCAGCTCCCTATAAGGCAACTCGAGCATTTCAGTGCAAATCTGACATCAGGTAGAAGAACCTGTATTTTTTCAGGGGTTTTTGTTTATTTTTTTTTCTTCTCTGTGTGACACTGAATAAAGATAACCTGTCATGCATAGATGAAGTCTACGTTAATCAAAATGAAAACACGTTACCACAACATGCAGAACTGACACATGTACATAAATCGGGAGCTGGAGGAAAAAAAGAGCTGAAGAAAGCATGAATCACAAAAACTCTAAATAATCTAAGGAAATGGAAAGCTGCAAACACCAACTAAATGACAGATTTGATAGGATGAGAGTAAAATCGCTAATGTGTTAGATTATGTAATTAAACACAAAGAAGCAAGAATAAAAGTTACAACTGCATATGAATGCATATATGCACCAAAAAAAAATCCCAAAGAACAAAAACACAAATAGGTGATTCAGAATGCCCTGGCTTATTCAGGACTATTTGCACAATAAATTATTGTAAAAAATTGTTCACATGGAAAAACACTAGGCTGACCTGATTGATTTACCAAGGAGAAACACTGAGGTGTAGCAACATACTGACATCCCGCACTGCAGGGGTCTACAGGGAAATATCTTCAAGGCTCCACAACCCTCTCCGCTTTTTGTTTTGTTTTCTCCCTCACCATCACAGCTAAAACCAACCCTATATTGGTTACAGGAAAACCAAGACAATCTTGAGCATCAGAAGTAAAATGCTACCTGCAGAACGAGTAGCTCCATTAATTAAATTGAAAGGAGCAACTAAATCTTCAAAGTATCACGATTTCTAAGAAACTCTCTCCTTGCATACCTCTTATTTTGCCAGTGTCCTACAGGACTAAATTAACCATCTAAAAAGCAGTAAGTCATCAGGCTAGATCCTATTTATAGCTTGCTGGAAAAATTCTCAACCCAACAGTTTTGTCTCAGAAAGTGTCACTTGAACAAAACCAGCAGGTTTGGCAGAAACTCATCAACCTCAGCAGAATTTTTGGCAGCAATGTTTGTGGAGATAGAGAAAATGACAGGAGTAAATGCTGAAAGCTGAACTTTTCATCCCAAATACAGAGGATTAATTTTTCATCCTCAGTGTTAGTACCTCCCATAGCCAGGACTTCGGAGAAAACTTATTGATGAGATGGCTGAAGTACTAAGGAAATTCACAGATACAAAAGCAAGTACTATGCCACAGGGCTAGCAGCAGTGAGTTCACTGCTCTCCTGGATCTAGCAAAGAGTCAGCCTTATTCTTCTGCACTGAACACAGCCAGGTCCCATTCACATTTTTGTGGGTGAAAATCCTGGAGCAAAGCAATGGAAAGACTTGTTAGACCACACAATGAGCAAGAGACCCAGCAGGAAGCAGCCCTGATGCTCCGACATCACCCACCCAGCTTCCTCAGCCCTGCTTTTGAGATACTGTGGTAGATGAAAGAAATCATTATGGGCACGTACTGCTTATTATTAAGGTTGCCCAGCATGTTCCATTACTAAATCACTTTAAAAAAAAACTTTTCCTGATATGCCTTCCCAAAGCCAGCGATGTATGTTTGACAAAGCTAAACAGCTTCAATACTTTAAAAAAAAAAAACAAAAAAAAAAAAACAACAAAGCCCTAAGTGTTCTAAAAATCCATGTACAGACCATAATCTGTGACGTTGGGAGCCACATAAGCATGGCTTGACCAAGACGTTCCTGAGATGCAGCTCACCTTGTCTTATCTCCCCAACTTCCACCTTGCTAAGCCAATGGGTTAAGCCAACTCTGCGCATGCCTCAGAGCAAACTCAGGGCTTGAATCACACCTCAAGTGATCTCAATCACATGAGGCTTTTAGGTTTTTTCTACAGAAGGCCATAGTCAGCTGGAACAGGTATATTGAAATCCTTAGTAAGGATTTGCTTTGTAGAAGAGTAGTAAATAAACTCTCCCCAAAGCAATAGTAATTAAAAAAAAAAAAGGCAAGAGTTGCTTTCCAGACGGCCTGTCTGACACAGTGGTTTAGAAATAAAACAGTAGAAATCTCAAAAATAATCAGAATAGGAAAGCCATTTTGCATCTAATTGCAATCACAACAGAGGGATGACTGACCCCTCCCCTAAACCCTGAGCATTTACCTTTGTGCTTTAACAAGATCCTTTTAACAAAGTCTTTGTGTGTGAGAACAACCCTAATGTTTCATATAGGTAGTAACTGGGGTCAAAGATACTATTTTACCTATCGTCTTAATTTCACTCATTTTTTCATTTCTCACCTCTGGATTCAATTCAAAAATCACGTGAACTTTTTTTCCAGGTTGGATTTTAGCTACATCAAAGCGAACAGTCAAAAGCTGGTCATCTGGTGTAAAAGTATCCTCATCGCAGACTGTCAGCTCCAGGATGTTCTAAGGAGAGAGACAGGGAAGGATGTAAATGTCGTTTTCTGGGACTACTGAGCCCAAAAGGAAGGTCTAGCACGAGTCAGCATGCAGCCCTCATGTTGTTGGATGCGGCCAGACTCCTGCGACAGCATGGAGCTCGGTTCACAACCCCTGTGGCTCAGATTGCAAAATCATGGATTAACCCTACAAGAGGTAAATCATCAGCCTTGGCAAAGGACAAGAGCTCAAAAGAAAGGCAGCATAAGTGGCATGCACAATGGTAACATGCCCTGGACAGAGTAGACATTGCACTTGCTGTTCATCAGGATCCAAAATCAGTACCTTGGAAAAATTTTGGCTTATCAGCAGAAAGTAGAGATAGAGACCAAACTCTTAGCCCTTTACAAATGAAAGGCAAAGCACATTAACAAACTGCTTTAACAAGACTTTAGCTGTAGTGATTCCCCTTGCAATTCCTCAGGGCCCATATTACCTATAGTAGCATGAGAAGGTGCAGCATTATCAAACCACAGGAAGCTGACCCTGTGTCTACACCTTGCATCACTCACACTCTGGCTGCTAATCTATTTCTGCTAACGCTACAAATATTTTAAGTTTTTTACAACTGTTCTGGGACAGAAAGAAGCGTTTAACTTTATTACGGCTGATCAATAACCCTCTGAGCTTACACTCATTCAAAGCAGCATGCGATAGGCATGGTTCTATTATAAATCTGTAAGTCAAATGTAAGGTTTGGGACATACATACTAGATAGAGCCTATTAGGCTTTTGAAAATATGCCTGTTTGATGATCAAATGGTTAGTAATAACAGATATTTTTAATTTTTTAAAAAATAGCATTAAGTTTAGTACCTTTTATAATTTACAAATAGCATCACTGTTGCTGTATAAAGCAGGTATTACAAGCTCATGGCAACACACAGCAAAAAATGCCTTCACAGTTCCATATAAGAAAACATAACTAATCCTCTAAAGAGTTTATAAAATCTCCCATCCAATTCATGGGGTTCTAGTACTTAGAAGATGACAGAGACCACTCAGGGCACCACAGAATCCACACTAAGGCATACTTACTTACTGGTAGGAAACAGCATCTCTCGTGTCATCTCTGATGCTTTCTGTATCTTTCCGTTACCATCCTATTCCTCAGTGTAACTCAGTTCAAGCCTCTGTGTGAGCCTCAAGGCTCTCATGAAGACCCTGAACACAGCAGGTGGAGATGTCCCCTTTAGAAAGTGCCTGCTCACTGTCACAGGTGCAGATCCTACCTTTACTTCTCTTTGTATCATGAAGTGGAAAGCTTCATTCCAGACAGGGTTTCTGCTGTTGCGTACGGTTCTTGTCCGGGCTTCCCGACAGGAAGCTGTTGGCAGCCACAGCTTGATGTAGCAATCAGTTTGGCTCACTGTGTTAACAAAAAGATGTAAAATCAGTACAGCAGTACTTTCTTGTTATTTCTTTTGCCCAGTCAGGGGAAAAAAAAAATTAACTTCTGAGGATTCCTAAATATTTCATTAGACCCGAAGGAATACATTCTGGGTTTAGAATTAACATTTCTATCTACATTTACGTCAATTTCAAAAAAAAGTCAATTTTAAGCCACTAATTCTATTTGCTAACAAAAGACAAAACAGTCAATTTCAACAGTACTGAAGCATTCCAGCTCTTTTGATTTTTCATCTCTATTTTCAAATATTTCTCAGGTTCCAAGCTAATTCATGTATGACTTCACTTCCTGAAACTTGGTTTTTTCAAAAAAAACGGAAAATCTAGTTTTGGGGATTTTTTGACCTGGTTCTAATTGTAATGCACAAGGCATTCACAGTGATATCACGATGAAGACACAAACAGAGAAGCACCCAACACGACTACTGACTCTTCCTCTATCTTCCACAATGATGCCCTTTCAGAAGGAAAATGGGCAACCTGTGCATAAAGGGGAACTGAAGAGTTAGGGGAAAAGGAAATACCACAGAGCAGCCATTGAAGGGAAGGATAACTTTCTTCCACAACACAGAATTTCTATTCTATTTCATTTCTATTGTTAACTTTTTTTTTCTAAATTGTTTTAATTGAGTCTAAACAAAAATGAAACCAGATACAACTTCTTCAACCAAAGAACCTGAGACATTATTGCAATCCAAGGAACAGGTGTACAAGAGCATTAAATTCAGGTAACAGTGATTTTCTTGCTAACCTATAAACATGCCACTGCTGATACTTACACAAATCGGCTTTGTGGAGATTTCTTATGCTTATAATTTTTACAGTAAGCCAGCATAACTGAGGTACTTCTGGCTGCAAAACAATGAGAAAAATACCTTAATTATTAGCAGATAACTCACGTATAACTAACACAGGCTATACTATAGCATAGGAAAGGCCATTCTCTCATTAATGAAGTGAATATATGTTCATTTTAATTATTTGAGACAATTTCTGAGAAGAAATTCTTTCTTGTGATTTGAAACCATATAATGTCAGATTCCAGCAGTGCCTACTAACCAGTTGTATATAAGATTAAGTTTTCTAAAGATCTAGATTTTGGAGGTTAAGATTTAATGCGGGGAATAGTAAGACATATCACAAGGCAGTTTTCACAAAAAAAAAAAGTTATTACATGATTGCCCCTGTAAAATCCAGCTACCTTTAAACTACTACAGGGTTTGCTCCTCATATTTCACATGAGATGCTCTCCTTCCTCCACAGGGATGGCTGCCCATCTGCCACGTAACATTGCTGCAGAACAGGACAGATACCCTCCATTCTATAATGCCCTGGTCAAGATATCCCTGATACTGCATAATTCAGCTGTGGGATATGTAATGCCATAACATCTGTCACCACACCAAAATACCTGACCCTTAAAAGGAAATAAAAAAGGACTTAAAGAGGGAGAGAACAGCCCAGTATGGGACTCTAGAGCTCTTCAGCTACACCAGCAGGAGGAAGGCTGAAATCAGAGGCTTGGGGTAAGCACTCTTCCATTTCACACATAGGTCCAGCTCCCTATAAGGCAACTCGAGCATTTCAGTGCAAATCTGACATCAGGTAGAAGAACCTGTATTTTTTCAGGGGTTTTTGTTTATTTTTTTTTCTTCTCTGTGTGACACTGAATAAAGATAACCTGTCATGCATAGATGAAGTCTACGTTAATCAAAATGAAAACACGTTACCACAACATGCAGAACTGACACATGTACATAAATCGGGAGCTGGAGGAAAAAAAGAGCTGAAGAAAGCATGAATCACAAAAACTCTAAATAATCTAAGGAAATGGAAAGCTGCAAACACCAACTAAATGACAGATTTGATAGGATGAGAGTAAAATCGCTAATGTGTTAGATTATGTAATTAAACACAAAGAAGCAAGAATAAAAGTTACAACTGCATATGAATGCATATATGCACCAAAAAAAAATCCCAAAGAACAAAAACACAAATAGGTGATTCAGAATGCCCTGGCTTATTCAGGACTATTTGCACAATAAATTATTGTAAAAAATTGTTCACATGGAAAAACACTAGGCTGACCTGATTGATTTACCAAGGAGAAACACTGAGGTGTAGCAACATACTGACATCCCGCACTGCAGGGGTCTACAGGGAAATATCTTCAAGGCTCCACAACCCTCTCCGCTTTTTGTTTTGTTTTCTCCCTCACCATCACAGCTAAAACCAACCCTATATTGGTTACAGGAAAACCAAGACAATCTTGAGCATCAGAAGTAAAATGCTACCTGCAGAACGAGTAGCTCCATTAATTAAATTGAAAGGAGCAACTAAATCTTCAAAGTATCACGATTTCTAAGAAACTCTCTCCTTGCATACCTCTTATTTTGCCAGTGTCCTACAGGACTAAATTAACCATCTAAAAAGCAGTAAGTCATCAGGCTAGATCCTATTTATAGCTTGCTGGAAAAATTCTCAACCCAACAGTTTTGTCTCAGAAAGTGTCACTTGAACAAAACCAGCAGGTTTGGCAGAAACTCATCAACCTCAGCAGAATTTTTGGCAGCAATGTTTGTGGAGATAGAGAAAATGACAGGAGTAAATGCTGAAAGCTGAACTTTTCATCCCAAATACAGAGGATTAATTTTTCATCCTCAGTGTTAGTACCTCCCATAGCCAGGACTTCGGAGAAAACTTATTGATGAGATGGCTGAAGTACTAAGGAAATTCACAGATACAAAAGCAAGTACTATGCCACAGGGCTAGCAGCAGTGAGTTCACTGCTCTCCTGGATCTAGCAAAGAGTCAGCCTTATTCTTCTGCACTGAACACAGCCAGGGAGCAGATTCAGGAAACTCAGGGGGGAAAAACCCACATCATAGAATTTGAAATTTTTTTAAGTTATCATTTAATATTATTTCAACCAGTCATTACTCAGAAGGGAAATAATTTGTTACATATCCAGTATTTACCACATTCAGTACCTTCCAACACATTTACCAGTTCAGTTTCATGAAAATTAGCATTCAGAATTATCTTAAGTGGCTGGCACTGAATAATCATTTTATCTGCTGCTCTGCCTCCATAAAGCAAAGGAAAAATAATTTGAGCCCTGGGTGTTATGAGGTACGACTACCATCGTATAGTGATGTCACACTAAAATCCAGCTCTCCCGGTTCCTTGCCCAGCATCAGAACCACAAATGCATCACCTTCCTCACCTTCCCAACCCCTAAGACATAGTGACTGCTCTCCTCTCTAGAGAGCTTCCTCTCACAGAAGAAACAAATATTCCCTTAACTAACTGTTAAAAAAACATCACCTCTCATCATAACAGTTAAGCTTAGGGAGAGACAGGAAATGCTGGCAGAAGACTGGAGGTAGCACAGCCATCGTTGATAGCCCACAGCCCAGGAGCTGTGCTCTGTACAGTACCTCGTCTTCGGCGCCGCGTGGCCTTTCGTGATTCTTCCTCCCGATTGCGATCTTCCTCCGTGGGTTCGCTCGGATGAACCGATCCTGGGGACAAGGAGCCAAGAGAGGGGCCAGTGATGAAACCCAGCAGCCAACAATTCCTAGTTTCCAGTTTCTACCCAGACTCACCACAGCAACAGCAGGGAGCCCTGCCATTTCTCCTCCTTAGGATGGGATAGATACTCTTGGTGAAGTGGAGATGTATCTGCTGCTCTTGCTAATAAATCTGCCCACTGCAGACCTGTTTGACATGTAAGGATCAAAACCCTCCAAACCATTTGCTTTTAATCCATCTCAACCAAGATAGCCAAACAGATCCTCCTGCCCCACCATGGATTTTCTCTTACCAAAGGTGAATAGGCTGACGATCCCATAAGTATCTCTGTTTCATAAAAGACGCTTTAATGGTCCAGTCTGTATGTCTCACAGCTGGCAGGTGCTCCTGGACCATGCTATTTTCCAACCAACCGAGGCAGGGAAGAAGAGTTGTATAGATTGACTCATAGCTCCACCTCCCACTGATTTCAAAAGCACAAATTATGCACTTTTTTTTTTTTTTTTTTTTTTTTTTTTTTTTTTTTTTTTTTTAAAACACCAGAGTGATTTAGGGTAAAGGAAGAGATGGGTCAAACATTTCATCGTAGGCTAATTCCAAAATAAAATAAAATAGTTATCCGCCACTCTAAGGTCCGAATAACCACACACAGAGGGATATCCTGGGGCAGGTGCAACTCTCACAAGCTAGAGAACACCTAGCAGGACAACATTGCAACTACTGATACCTACTGTTCTTTTCTCTAGTCCCTAAATCCATACCTGTGCTTTGGCAGCACCAAGTGGAGTGACCTGGACATCCAAGCAGCAGCATCCCAGCTCCCACCAGCTCCTCCAGCCAGATGTGCAACTGCAAGGGTTTTCACCAAGTTCACTACAAATTGCAGCCACAACGTGGAGGCTGGCTCTCACAGGCAGGGGCAAAGAGTCAAAGAAACAGCCTGTAGCTTTTCTTCTCTGTTACTTCTGTCACATAAGGGATGCTGCAGGGTAAACAGAGCCAGCAGGAACTTCTGTTATTGAAACACTTTTTAATGAAAGTGCTACTTTCAATTAAATTATGTTAGAAATTAATATGAGCTTTAACACAAATAACTACCTTTTTTTTCCAAAATATTTAAACATTCATGTTAAAATTGTCAATTCTGATTTCTCCTTCATTTTGGAATGATTTCATATTATTTTTCTGTAATAACACTCAATAAAATCTCCTAAATTAGTAAAATATGACAGAAGTCAGCTATTGCATCAACATTTTTAAAATCGCTGAAACCAGCCATTATTCAATAGTGACAAACTGCAGTTTAAATAAGTTTTTTTTTAAAACTGTTTATTTTTTTAGAATTTCCAAGTTTCTAAGTCAGACAGAAAATCCCTTTTTGAACGCAGCAGGACTTCTTACCAAAAAAAGAAATCTGACTTTCAACCATGAAAGTATCCGAGAAATTTCAGTTGAAATAAGTTTTTTTTAAAAACTGTTTATTTTATTTTTTAGAATTTCCAAGTTTCTAGGTCAGACAGAAAATCCCTTTTTGAAAGCAGCAGGACTTCTTACAAAAAAAAGAAATCTGACTTTCAACCATGAAAGTATCTGACTGTTCGAACTGTCCTGTAGAGGAGGTGTTCCTTAGATAAAGTTTCAAATGATCATTTTAATTAGTCTGGTCTTCACAGACTCAGGCATTGAACGCATAAAAGTTCCTGCTTTAGGTTGTACTATCATTTATGCAAAATGGTGTGATGAGTCCCCAGCTACAGGGTTTTTGTTAGGCTATATTTTTTAATTGTGTGGCACAGTCTTGTTACAGTAGAGATCTATTTCACTTTAATTATTTGATAATGCTTTTGAAGCAACACTCCCTGCTTTGAAACAAGAGATGCAGCTGACGCTGTTACAGGAGGTTGAACATGAGAGTCATTGCATCACTTAGCTCAGGCTCTGAACTCATTTTACGGCTCAGTTTGATGACAGTGGATTCTCTCCAGCTCCTCAAGCAGAAAAGTCACCCATCCAGTTAGGTTAATATGCCATCCTCCCCACTCATCTCCCGCCTTTTCCACAGTCTCTGCATTTGGGCCTTTTGTGGATTTCATAAATCAAAGCAAGCATTATTAACTGCTTGAGCAGCTACGTCGCTGTACTATACGCGCTTGGTCTGTACGTCACGAGAAAGAAGAAATCCAGCTAAAGCATCTGTAGCCCAGCAGCAGTAGGAAGTTACGTGATAACACGCTAGCGTGCATCGTGATCAGTGGTGCAGGTGAGTCAGAAGTCAGGAAGCCACAGGCCAGAAGACAAGAGAGTGTTTCACCAACGGCATTACACCAACAGAAGCCAGCCCAGGCACCTGGGGTGGCAGAGCTGACCAGTTACTGCAGCAGCACCACAGGCTCTGCAGCCTCTTGAGATGTTTAAATTGGAAGAAAAAAGATTCAGATTAGATCTCAGGAAGAAATTTTTTACTCTGAGGGTAGTGAGGCACTGGAACAGGTTGCCCCTAGGTCAGACAGAAAATCCCTTTTTGAAAGCAGCAGGACTTCTTACAAAAAAAAGAAATCTGACTTTCAACCATGAAAGTATCTGACTGTTCAAACTGTCCTGTAGAGGAGATGTCCCTTAGATAAAGTTTCAAATTATCATTATAATTAGTCTGTTCTTTCACAGACTCAAGCATCGAATGCATATAAGTTCCTGCTTTAGGTTGTACTATCATTTATGCAAAATGGTGTGATGACTCTCCAGCTACAGGGTTTTTGTTAGGCTGTGTTTTTTATTGTGTGGCACAGTCTTGTTACAGTAGAGATCTATTTCACTTTAATTATTTGATAATGCTTTTGAAGCAACACTCCCTGCTTTGAAACAAGAGATGCAGCTGACGCTGTTACAGGAGGTTGAACATGAGAGTCATTGCATCACTTAGCTCAGGCTCTGAACTCATTTTACGGCTCAGTTTGATGACAGTGGATTCTCTCCAGCTCCTCAAGCAGAAAAGTCGCCCATCCAGTTAGGTTAATATGCCATCCTCCCCACTCATCTCCCGCCTTTTCCACAGTCTCTGCATTTGGGCCTTTTGTGGATTTCATAAATCAAAGCAAGCATTATTAACTGCTTGAGCAGCTACGTCGCTGTACTATACGCGCTTGGTCTGTACGTCACGAGAAAGAAGAAATCCAGCTAAAGCATCTGTAGCCCAGCAGCAGTAGGAAGTTACGTGATAACACGCTAGCGTGCATCGTGATCAGTGGTGCAGGTGAGTCAGAAGTCAGGAAGCCACAGGCCAGAAGACAAGAGAGTGTTTCACCAACGGCATTACACCAACAGAAGCCAGCCCAGGCACCTGGGGTGGCAGAGCTGACCAGTTACAGCAGCAGCACCACAGGCTCTGCAGCCTCTTGAGATGTTTAAATTGGAAGAAAAAAGATTCAGATTAGATCTCAGGAAGAAATTTTTTACTCTGAGGGTAGTGAGGCACTGGAACAGGTTGCCCAGGGAAGTTGTGGATGCCCCATCCCTGGAAGTGTTTGAGGCCAGGCTGGATGTGGCCTTGAGCAACCTGCTCCAGTGGGAGGTGTCCCTGCCCATGGCAGGAGGGTTGGAACTCAATGATCTTTGAGGTCCCTTCCAACCCTAACCATTCTATGATTCTATGTAGCTGCAAGAGCTGGAGACTCCCAGTTGCCACCAAGATCCCAGATGGATTTTGACAAACACTGAGAATATCACTTTCCCGTCAGGGAAATTTGAGACTGATAATCAGTGGCATCTCCAACTTCTTCCAGGGTTTTTACAGCTATTTAACACCTAATGTAAGGCAAAGTGGGAAAAGCCCTGAGAGTCTGGCTCACAAGCCTTGCAAGACTGCTAACTTCTCATAGAAAGGTGCTGTGGTAAAAAGCCAAATAGACCTCTTGGTCTGAGCTCTGATACACCAACACAGCCACAGGGTCCGACTTCATTTCTAAAAATGCTAATGATTTCATTCTTCATAACCCCCTAAAATAAAAGCTGATGGACACCATCTCTAAGTATCATACTTCATTTACATGATCCAAATTAGACATCCCAAAACTGAATCACTCATATCCCCTCAATTTTGACAAACACTGAGAATCATTTTTCCTGTCACAGAAATTTGAGACTGATAATCGGTGGCATCTCCAACTTCTTCCAGGGTTTTTACAGCTATTTAACACCTAGTGTAAGGCAAAGTGAGAAAAGCCCTGAGAGTCTGGCTCACAAGCCTTGCAAGACTGCTAACTTCTCATAGAAAGGTGCTGTGGTAAAAAGCCAAATAGACCTCTTGGTCTGAGCTCTGATACACCAACACAGCCACAGGGTCCGACTTCATTTCTAAAAATGCTAATGATTTCATTCTTCATAACCCCCTAAAATAAAAGCTGATGGACACCATCTCTAAGTATCATACTTCATTTACATGATCCAAATTAGACATCCCAAAACTGAATCACTCATATCCCCTTTTTGACCTAGATTCTGACAAAATCTGAAGTGACAGTGATTGAAATCTGTAAGAAATTAAGTCTTTGTGCAATTTTTCAGAACATCTGTTTAAAGCATTTGGGAAAGATTAAGAACAAGAAACATTAAGCTGCATATCCTGCATTGATAATACAGAGAAGACCACAGGGAACATCTTTCTGGTGGGACAATAACAAATAAACTGCTTGACTTAATATTGTCCGTTATATCATACTTCATTTAAATGACCCAAATTAAACATCCCAAAACTGAATCACTCATATCCCCTTTTTGACCTAGATTCTGACAAAATCTGAAGTGACAGTGATTGAAATCTGTAAGAAATTAAGTCTTTGTGCAATTTTTCAGAGCATCTGTTTAAAGCATTTGAGAAAGATGAAGAACAAGAAACATTAAGTTGCATATCCTGCATTGATAATACAGAGAAGACTACAGGGAACATCTTTCTGGTGGGACAATAACAAATAAACTGCTTGACTTAATATTGTCTGTTTCGCCTAAGTCGTACAGTTGTGTTCATATCCTGTTAGAAGTTTTGTTCTAATACGTGATTCAGCATGACCATAAAGAAGTATTCACACTCAGCATTGCAATTTAGGCC